TTTATATCTAGTAATATATGTTGAGAATTAATAATAAAATACGCGACGACTTGGTAACGAAAGTTTGGCACAAGTTTATTTAGATCCAGCTGTAGGGGGCGTCCCATTTTTCGTATTCCCACCATGCATTTCGGTGGAACACTTTTTTTGTGTGGAGAACTCTATCTTGTATTTCTAGTATCTTTGCTATAGGTGGTTGAACCTTCCCAAAAATGGGTGCACACCCATCTCTGTCCACCTCAGCCCTACCATGGTTGGGGCTTAGCTAAGGTGTGTGTAGTGCATGTTCATATTAGTGGATGTTCTATTTTAAAGATTTCTATGTAATATTATATTTGTAATTTATGTTACTCATAGAGTATAAATTATACTTTAAAAGTGCTTTAGTTGTTTGTCATTGGATTAATATATCCAATAATTATGCAGTGATACACACATTGCAACCATTCCCAATCCCTTGTGTTGGGGAGTCCACTCCTGCTGCCTCAACCAGGTATACATTTTAACTCTTAGCAGATAGAAGCATTGCACATTAAGTGCCTTACCATGGTACACAATATCTCAACCTATTGACCTATTTTCGAAGCCCAAAGTTTTACTTTTGTACCACATGTTTCTGCTATATGTAATCTACTGCAAACTTGTAGGTTTTTCTACTTTTAAAACTATGGGTTAAATTTGCTTGGATTATGTAACTGGGTGGAAGTCTTCTGTGCAAAGTATTACATTTTACGGATTAGGACTTTTATAGTGCAATAGGTCATTTATACATTCCATTCTGTTTAACTTCATAAAATTACCTGTTTTTTTAAAAGAAAGTTCTCTATACTTTGATAATTTTGTATTTTTGTACACTTTTATGTGTTAATCTAATTTATTTGTTGCTTATATACCTAATATGCAATCTACAAGCTGGGGTAAAAGCAATATGAGCACATTCCAAGTGTTTAGTATTTTCTAATAATGAATGGTGTGATATGTATTAATAATTTGTTTATGTTTTGTAAATTTATGGGATAGTATACAAATATTAACAGCTCATGAGGGGAATGGTGAAATCTATTGCCCCGAGGTAATGTGGAGACTGTGCCCTACTATTGGAAGCGGTTTGGCGCAGCGGGAACCATTTGGTTTCCCAACCTCCAGGTCAGGGTTTCAATCCCTCGCTGTGCATTTCGCTTGTGTCCTTGAGCAAGGCACTTTATCTGCATTGCTTCTCTCCACCCAGGAGTATAAATGGGTACCTGGTGGGGTTACCTGCTCCTGCGCTGATTACCAGCAGCAACACTTAGCATGTAGACCCAATGACCAGCAAAAAGAACTTCAGCGCTTTGTAACTCAAAAGAAAGGCACTATACAAGTTACAAGTAACGAGTACTATCTTCCCAAGGGCCCATCACCGAGGAGCTATAGATTTCACCTTTTCCCAAAAGGTGATCTACAGTAAGGGCCAATCTCTCTCAGCGTCCGTAGAGAGGTCGCATGTCATAGATTGCATAGCAACCACGTTATAGGTGGGGCCTAGAGATTACATCGCGACAGGGCAAAAAAGTACTATCATTTAACGTGATAGTACTTTTTTTCCCCAAGAATTTATGAACTATCGTTCAACTTTCATCATAGGAGTGATTGTTGAAGTTATTGCCCGCTTCTTAACCAATCGGATTCTTTGAATGTATGTATGTGAAATATAATCTGAAATAACAGTTTACTACTACTTATATAACTATTTGTAAAAATGTTTACAAATCATGCTATCAACAAGTTGGTACAGCAGCTTGCATTAGAATGTTATAGGAATGTATATACATACATCTCGTTTAGAAAATTTGTTATGATATCATCATCATCGTTTTCATCATCACCATCGTCATCATCATCACCATCATCACTGTTAAAATGTTTACAAAATCATGTTATCAACAAATTGATATAATAGTTAAACAATTTCTCATAAGGATTTAATAGAATGTTTATGCATACATCTGGTTTAGAAAATTTGTTATCATATCATCATCATCATCGTCATCTTCGTCATCATCTTCGTCATCGTCGCCATCGTTAATGTATTCTCACACTAAAATTTTATTTAATATGGTAACAAATAATCATCGTGATAGATGGAAATTCAAAGACAGAAATAATCGTTATCTGAGTTCCATAAACTCAAGAGTGTGCTGACGACCCAAGCCTTTATTAACACTGACTTAGGCATACGTTATCTGATCTTCATGCCAGTCTGGTCAAAGCCATTATGACCAACATAAAATAACTAACCGATAGTTTTTCAGAGAAACTGTCCTTTTCTGAAATGTAATGGCTTTTTAGCACTTACTTTTGTAGCCTAACCCACCCTGTCTCTTATACACATCTCAATGAGTCATAACAAAGTAATTCTGATGCATGTGATTTGGCGCGGGACTGCATGAATGAATCCTACGAACTTCCTTTTTTACGTCGTGATAATCTACAATAACAGCAACAGAGGCGTATCTAGGGGCCTCCACACCCCCATAATCCCCTCGCCCTTCTCCATTTTAAGATGAGCTTCTAGTAAAGTAGTAGTTCACTAAACAGCATGTGGAAAAGTAATTTCTGGGTTGTTATTACAGTGAAACTTTTGGGTACTTTTGTTGTACAGTATTTATGAAGTGTTAATTAAGCGCATACCACTCCGTTACCAAAAGCCATCAAAATTATTTAACAGTTCTCCTTAAATTTTTACAAACATCTGTACACGGCCGGTCACATTCTGCATCATGGTAGGCCTACATAGTCCATGGCCACTTTTTGTAATTGACAAAAACAAAAGGCAAAAGAAATCCTTTTCATGGTTAATGCATACTTCGTGTTGCTGACTATGATGACTTTTGTAATTGTTTGTTAGGGAAAAAATTAAGAACCGGTAGCAATTTTAAAATTCATGATCAAAGTCTATATTTTCTGGTGCACCCCATCCCCTTAAAAATCTGGGAACTTGGGAGGTCTGACATGACCGCTGGTGCAAGGAGCCGAAATAAAAAAGTGCTCCCACCCATAGCCTGTAGGATTGACATTTTATTGGCTCCTGCGTGCGGGAGGGGGAGCAGTGGTGGCCTACAGTGACATGGGGTCTCCAACCGTGGGCGTCCGACAAAGGGGAACGGCTCAGTCCCTGTATGTCCGGGAATAAAATCCCTGGTGATATGGTTGTTGTAAATGGGAGTCTCTTATGTCAGATGGCGGAAAATTGTGCTTATTTTTAGGCAATAAACTTTATTTTGATAGAAAAATTAATATTTTGGTCCGACGATGAGGGTGAGAGGGCGCTCTATTATTACTGTCTCTTAT